CACACACACACACACACACACACACACACACACACACACACACACACACACACACACACATATATATATATATATATATTGTGTGTTGTCCTCTTGTTTATTTATTACAACCATAGATTCGAGAAAGAATAAGAAAATGCAAGCGAGAAGATGAGAAACACAAGAGCGAACTATCGATACGAAAAATATCAAGAGGAGGCATAGAGACAATCTAAAGTTAACCAATAACTTTCCCTGACAAGTAAAATTCGAATAAGCGCCGCTCGTCTCAAATCTGGTCTTCGTTAAACGTATATACAGAATTGATTACGACTATTATTGGGCAAATAGATACATTTTGTCCTTTGTGCATACAATAATTTGAGATAGAATGAGCAAAAGTAAGCAAGAAGAACCATAACACAAGAGCGAACTGTCGATTGGCAGAGAAATACAACAGGCATAAGTGCAATATTTTATCGTTCTCGGAATATTTTAATAGAAATTTGATATCGTATTAATGTAATGTATTCGCGAAATGTATTTTATAGTAGGCGGAGCTGCGATAGTGGATGGAACAGCTGATAGTAGATTTATAGTAGATGTAGTTACTATTATTGTAGTATCTGGTTGAAGATTGACTTTATATATCAAACTCAGACTGCAACCTTTCATGATTCAACACTTTCACGATCTAACCTCTCTCTTCGGATACTGGACGCTAGGTATGGCTCTCAGTTAAATCGAATGTAAGTACGTAGCCAACAGGTGCGCGGTCTAATAACGAAAAGTATTACAAGCAAGGTTTATTGAAACGGAAAGTCAAAAATTGACAATTTCTCATAATATTTCATCTATTTTATTCAAGATCGTTATTGTGTCATTGTACGAACTGCATTCATGCGCGACAATGATTGTATATTTAGCTTCTTCTCCCCGGTGACCGACTTGATGGACATGTGCAACCCCTTCCTTTTCATGCTCAAACACTTCCTCCGTCGGTAAAAGTACCCACAAGTATTGCAGAGTGTACTTCTTCCCTCGGGTCCCGGACGCCAAGTACAACTCTCAGTTATACCACAGTGCCTATACAACAAAAGATAGCGGAACAGAATTTATACCAGATGGAAATATGCGTTGCGAACCAGAGAACGAACCGTATGAACAGAAAAGGCGAGCAAATCGTTAATAATACTTACAAGCAAGGTCGATCCAAGCGAACAATTGGCGGCCGCTTGTTTGAACAGTTAAGTGACTTCTTCGTGTAGTCACTCTCTTGACCAGACGCCATATCCGGATCCACGACCTTCCACATTTGTGCGTCGTGCTGTTTAGGGCCCCCGCCTTGGCTATCCCGGTTATTCGCGGTATACCCGTTCATCGACGGCCCCTCAACCATACCCGGCTGACTGTTTCCGTTCATGTTGACAGGCGCACGCATTGCACTGGCATGACCACTCATCGCCGGACGCGTAGTCGATGCTTCGCTACAACAGGAACGCGCGCTATGATTCATACTACAGCTATTATAATTATTGATACTATTCCTATTATATGCCATTTGAGGTCGGCAACAAGCACTCTCAGTCGTTACAACCGCTGCGTGGGCATGATGCGGTATCTGACTGTGGCTGTGACCGTGTGTATGTTGCAAACTCTGACCACCCATATTTGACCCACAGAAACCCCAACCCTGTTGTTGGCTGAATTTCGGCGGATCAAAGTGTTGACCACTCCAATTGCTCCCAGTCATGTTAGTAGTATGCTCTATATTGGTGTTATTATGGACCTTATTAGTTCGCTTTTTGGAATTTTGCCGCACCATGCACGGTTGCTGTGAGCCAGTGATGGTTTCATCCTGACGTGGGCACGATTGATGGGTATGTGTCCGGGGAATACCCGTTGGAACGTACCTGTGTCGAACAACACTGTGGTGGCTATTGTTATGGTGATCATCGACTTGCGAATCACATGACTTTCCAAAGCTACTGTCCGGTCCACTAGATCGTCTTGATTGCTGCCCACTGGTGTTCTCACAGTCCACAAACCCGTTTACAGAGGGTTGACAGTCCTCACTTGTGCTCTGATATGCCTCCAGTAGTGCACTCGGGTGATGGCTGTGGTAGCCTCGGGAAGAATGACCGGCTCTGCCATGTTGGTGTCTGACTTGAACAGGCCTGCTCCAGGTCTTTGAATATCTGGCAGACGCAGATCGCTCGAGGTGGTGATTAGTTCCACTATTTGTATCTTGGGCAGCATTATTCATATAGCCAAAACTTGATGCTGCTGTGTCGGAGCAGCTGCCCGGACTTTCAAAATAAGAATGTGACGGATTCTCACTTTCAGCGTAATATTTGGCATCCGTGCTACCACTCGAGCTCTCATTCGAATTGTGATAAGTGAGAGTATCGGAATCAACTCTACTGTCAGTAGATCCCGACGAGTAGCCCGCGTCAGAGCGTACTACGGGGTTACAACTGAAACCAGTCTCACTAACTTCTCTATCCAGGATATGACGAGAGGTATTTCCTGGCATTGCTGGCCGCAAATTATTTGTACCGTCCGCATATGGTTGGAATCTTGTGAACCTTGGGGTACTCTCATCTCTTGAGTCGTGTGAAGAACCGTTTGACCTTGAATCGGTTGACCTTGAATAATCCGACTTTCCTGATCCTTGAAGTATGCTACTAATGGAAAAGGATCCAAACTGGCTTTCAGGTGGCATCGTGTGTTGAAATAGGTTACCGTGTATTTTATAACGCAATTTTTACAAAGAGATACGAACGCGGGCACATATAGGTTGTCTTTCAAGTACATGTTTCATTATGGATTGCCCTACAACCAATTGTTCTGTATATATCCAGTTGACGCGACAATAAAAAGACCCCTTCGTAGAGTGCAACTATTTTACTCGGTATCCCATACGTTTGGCTTTCAATAAAATTGTAAAATGAGTGAGACTGTGAGTGACATACTGAGTAAATAAATGGAACCTATTTTATACCCAGAGTTATCCCATTTCCTCAAATTTTGGACTTTGGCCTATTTGAATGATGTTTCTTTACTCTCATTGTCCAGTGTGAGAATAGTTTGAAACATACAATAAATAGCGCAAGAGGGAGAGTAAAGTATTTAGAATAACCAGCAGCTGTAGTCTGTATCCCCCTGTAGACTTCACTGTGTAGTAAATCGTTTGTCGATTTGTATTTAAAAAAACAAAATAAATGGCCCTCAGCCGCCTCACCAGACAAAAGCCATTTAGGACAACAAAAGTTTGTGTCAAAAAGAATTGGTTTTTTTAAAACAAAACTTGGATTTTGGAGACGGTTTGTATTTAAAAGTATTTATTCTTGTCTTTACTTTTAATTTTTAGACACTCTTCGTTCCAGTTCCGTCGGTCTTTATAGAGTCTGAGAAAAAAGGTCCAAACTCCAGAGTGACAAGGCTCCAGGCAATGCCAATCAGTCTTCGCTCACCCCCAAGAAAAGAGTCGCACTCAGAGTTAAGCGCTCTTATTTTTATATACCTTATGTATAATTTTAATACTTTCTATCCAGTTTTTTGAGCTACTTTTATATACATATATGTTCACTCCATAAAAATAATAGTTTCAATATTTCAATAAATAGTACGATGTACGTATATAAATATGTTGCGGCCTTGTTCTGGAGTGGTCGGTTAATAGACCTACGGAACCCCTTCATTTCACAAAATTCGAAAACTGATAGTGGTATTAAATAAGAAGAGGCGGAGTATATTGGTTTTTATATAAAAACAACAATGAAAGTTGAAAAAATTGATGAGGTACTCTTCAATGTTATTGAACCAGTAATTATAAGCCTAGTAATACTTTTTCAACGCTGTCCATTCAAAATTACATTCCTTTGGCGAATTTCAGCACTCGCAAGAGTCGCAGTCTCACATTTTTTTCTCCTTTTCTACTTGTTTTTGAAGAATGCAACGAATTCTTTCTGTCCCTTTCCATCAGTTTGTTTGTTAAAAAACATATAAATAATAAGGTTTCGATTTGGGGGGTTTATACTTTTTCGTTATATTTGTCAAAAGCTGAGTCCCGATTCCCGAAGTTGTATATATTTATTTGCTTTTTGTGTTGAGAAATAAATACGTTTTGTAACGTATTTTTTTAAGCCTTTTTAGACGTGTGTAAAATATTAATATTTGTTATTTTTATAAAAATAAAAGTTGATTTTCAGATTATGACAAAAAATCGTATGTATTGTTTAAAAAAAAAACAAATACATGTGTATATAATTGGCGGACAAAAAGTACTTTCAAAATATTTGATTTTTTTAAAACAAAACAGCAATATATTAAATAAGTATATGTACATATATACATTTTAAAAATTAAACAATGTATGTACGTATGTGTTTTTAGATTATAAAAGCGAGTAAAAACTACAAAGAACAGGAATTTAAATATATAAAAATTGCGTGACTGAGGGGACAAAACCCCCTAAAAACCCATAGCCTAACCTCATTCAGTTTCCCGGTTTAACCTTTTCAAAATGAATCAATAAACGTTTCCGTTCAACTTTTATTCTGTATATAGCCCTATGAAATTTGAAGTGGTGCAATTTCCAGGCTATTAATTTGTCTTAAAATGACCCACCAATTTTGAGCCCGCCAGTCCACCACTAAAGCCCGCCTCTGTGACCGTTTTAATATTTTCGACTTCGTAAATAAAATAAATATTGTTCGAAAGATATACAATCCTGTTCTTGTTTATTGTTGTACGTTAAAGTTTAAACCATATTTATATGGACTATATTTTCTGTTTTACACCTGGTTCATGGTTAAGATGCCACGTGTAGCCGATCCGGTTAAGGACGCACATTGTGTATCGAGAGCTGAAGGTGGCAAAGAAATAGTACAATGCAATTACTGCGATAAAGATTTCATATATTCAAATGTTAGCCAGCTGAAACTCCATCTCGCCAACGGCCGAACATGTGTTGCGCCAGACTTTATCAGAGAGAAGTATGCCAAGATGCTGGCTGAAGCAAACAACCAGGCGATGGCTCAAATCAAACGGGAAGAGGCAGAACCACCGCCTGTGACATAACAGTTACCTCTGTTTACATGCACCAGATCATTACGTGCCACGCGCAACAATTCACCTTCAGACACTAAACCGACAAACGCAGGTGTTTTTTAATGGATTAAACGAAACTACAACCATACCGACATTACATAGATTTAGGTTAAGTTTAAATATTCTGGTTTGCTATGCGCAAATCCTCGGTCTTTTGTCCAGTTCATATAAACAGCTTCTTCGAAAGTATATTCATCAATACTCAAGGTACGCGAAGTTAGAACTGCAAATACGCATTCATCCACTGGGAATGGCATCACGCAACTTATCAGTAATTTATGCAGTAGCCCGTAGTTATAGTCATGCTTCGGAATCCTTGCTCATAACGATGATATATATCCGCATAAATAGGTCAGGCACCTGTATCTGGGAACTCAATCAAATTGTTCGTACTTTCTTTGTGTTGTACAAACACAATGTGTATAAGTAAGTGGAAGCCGAGCTATTCTGCGTGCATTACTACCGTTAATATCTATAAAAATCACTGTTTTGTATACTAGATATTCATTGGTCGCTATTTGCCATATAGTCCATTTCGTTAGAATTCTGGTTTACATGCTGAGTGCAAATTTGAGAATTTCGTTTTTTATTTTAACCTGTGATTTTTTAACGTTTTCAAAACGAATCAGAATACGTTTCCGGTAAACGTTTATTCTGTACCCCATTAACGGATTGAGCTTAGCCCATAGCCCTATAAATAATATTTACAATTTTTTTTTAATTTCTTTCTATATATATATACCTATGTACCCCCTCTGGTGGATGTAAATAGTCTAGGCACCCCCACCGCTTTCTTGGTACGCTTTCAAGGTCAGAGTTTTATGAAAATGTTTCAAAATTAGGTCGCAAACACTTGCAGGGAGAGTATCGCAAAAATAAGTAATCCAGAGGGGGGAGAGGGGGGGGGGGGGTACGTACGTAATCAGTAGGAACAGAAACAGCGGTTCAATCGCACGAGGTTCTGTTGATCAGATGAATGCTGTGTTTTATTATCAATACTGTATATTTAATTTCATTTATAATGTTTTACTATGTACAGGTTTTACTAAGTACAGACTAGTTACACGTTATACATGTTACTGAGTCATTAATTCTAGAAATCTATCCAGCATCACCAGTATAACATAGTATGTGCATTGTATTTCTGCTACAAGTTTTGTCCATATGCTCAGGCTTCTCTCAAATCGGACCACCGTTGTTTCTCTACAGGAAACTTTGATGTTCTCATTTTAACGGATTATATATATTTATAAACATATTTATAAACAAATTTAAAAATATATAATAATAATAAATATAAATAAATATATACAGATGTATACATATATTATACATACATTCATATTCACGTATATACATATAAATACATATTATACACGCACACACACATATATATATATATTTATATGTATATACATTTATAAATTAATATATATAAATATAAATATATGTATATATATATCTATTTCTATTCATATATGTATTCATATATATATATATGTATAATATATTTATATACATGTAGGTATGTATATATGAATATATATATATATATATATACAAATATATATATATGTGTGTGTGTTTGTGTGTGTGCATATATATATATACACATATAATTTTTTATCAGATTATATCAATAAATATTTGCTATAAATTATAGAATAAGAGGGACATACACGAATTAATACATACATACATTATTAACTTGTATCTCAATCTTGATGCCTCGACTCAAAAAGGCAATAGAGTTGACTTGGTCCTGGGCGCTTTGGCACAGCTGCTGTCCGAGCAGCTGAAGATTCTTTTTGATATCATTATCTGCAGACCAGTCGCTGCCGTGTTCTATCACTACTACTCGTTGTATGAGGCATTCTTCTTAGCGTTTTTAGCGACTGTGCATATTTCTTTCGTCAATTGACTTAATGCATCTTTGGTACCCAAAGGGGCAGTTTATACTTGCAAAATGGACTAGCAGAATATTGAAAGTATGTATGAAGAATTGAACGTTGAAATCGTTCATATTTTCACTCAGTGTCTAATTAATGCTATGTATCATGGTGTGATAGTTCAGGAATACAGTAAATACAGATAAATACACGAGTTCCAAAATCCTGCCCAAGCATGGTGTATTTAAAATAAAAACAACAAACAGAATATAATAAAAATCATGTTCCAAATCCTCGAAATCAGAATGTAGACAAAACGTACCCATATTATAAATACGTATCACCTTTCTGGTTACAGGGGATGTAAAGCTCCGAGGGGGTATATATAAAGCAATACCTTCTTTCTTTTTAATTGGCAATGTGAAAACGTGTGAAAATATTTCTACATATGTACATATTTACACATCATAAAGGTGAGTGGTTCACTGTGCAATATAGTGAAAATAATTCTTCAAATGTACTTATTTACACATCATAACGGAGAGTGGTTGACTGCCAAATGACTGGATTGTGGACTTCTTACGGGGTGACCGTGTGATGACTGCGGGCGTGCGGCCTGAGCCCCTGCGCCTGCGGCCTTTCGCCCTACGGCGACTGATTTATGTGTTTCTGTCATATACTGTGGGCCGGGAACTCGTTGAGTCCCTCTGAAGTGGTGGGCTCATTGTGCTGTTATTTACTATGTCCAATGTACAAATATGTTTAAATTTTTTTTTAACTTCTAAATAAGTAATGTAAATAAATGAGAGTACAGTATGTAAATATATATTTTTTAGGGCTCAAATGGTCGAATCACGGAGAGATACACTTTTTAATGCAGGCTAATAAATATAATACCATAGGCAGATTCAATATTTGTTCACAGATATAGTCGCAACAATGGAGTTGTCAACTGAGGTGCAGCTACTACAAGCCCCTTCATTTCAAATCCTGGAAACACTGCTCTATACCCCGGAATCAGGTGAGTTGGTTGCTTACAATGTCTGTACTTGTGTTCAATCTGCTCTGACGACTGCCAAGGCAACG